AGTTTTCATCCATCAAAACTTTACTAGCGAGACTGGTTATCCAGTCGAGAAAACGCAGTTTGCATCTCATCTGGCCATACATATATGTGTTGACAACCCGTTAAGCCTCGCGCTCGTCAGAGACAATCACAGAATATGACAGAACTCGTGTTTTAAAGCGAAACACACTGGAATATGCTAATTTATGTAATTATTTACTTAGTTTCATTGTGAGAAAGTGAACCAACTCCGGCGTAAGGCTAAAAGCAGCCTAATGTTTTTTAATATGACTGAATTTGTATTTAACATGATAAGAAATGAATAGAAACATTGGAAGTTACTAATTATAATGCTTACATTTCCTCAGTTATTCAAAAAGCAGCTACAGAAAACGAGCAAAGAACATTACATTAGCAAAGAACATCATCACAAGCTCAGTCTAGCGCGAGTTTATGCACTTTAAAAACACTCCCGTTAAACTCAGTGAATCTACACTATATGATGAATAAATCTCTTATACTTACAACGCACGTACATCTGCACTTTGTTGTTTATAATGAGAGAATTCGCTATATATGTGTGTGTGTGTGTGTGTGTGTGTGTGTGTGTAATAAAAAGTATTAATTGACATCAATTATCAGTTATACAAAAAAAAAAAGCCACCATACACTGTAGTGATAGTGGCCACTGAAAAACCCATAAAAGTCAAACCATTAATTGGCATATCAAACCAAACTAATTATTATTTGCTGTACATATGCATCAGCTAACTGTCACAGTATTACGGTTTCAGGAAAAGGCTGACGTTGGGTCCGGTTGTGAGGCGAGTCTGCGGCAAAGGCCTCGTCCAAGGACTATTTTTCAGGCAGGACTGACAGCTCACAGTAAACCCCGCAACAGAGAGGGGGGACATAGCAAACAGGATCACAACAACCTGGTAATACGCACATACACACACAAAGCCTTTTTATTCCGTCAGACACACTGAAATCAAGGCCGACATACAGAGATCACCCTCGTGGCAGATTAAAGCTGTCATGCCACTGTCAGCTCCTCACACTTTACTCAACAGCTTTAAGTCGAGCTGTCGATCACTGTCTTTATGTTGTCAGACATCTGAAGTTGTCTGTACCCCAGCCAATCAAAACAGTGGTCTTGGAAATTCAAGTATGGAAAATCAGCCCCTCCTTTTCAATATGTTATGACTTTTTTCCATAGTTGTTTTGTCTGTGTTGTGATGAGATGAGCAAAGACAGACAAAGTGTGTATGACATTATGGTTTGGAGAGAATTTGCAAAACAATAAAATATATACAGTAGTGTATAAGGCTGGGCATAGGCGCCGATCCCGATCCCTCGAGCACCCACGGAAATGATCGCGCACCCACGGAAAAACACGAGATAGTCTCCATTCATTTTAACCAGTAAGAAATGGATTGCAGCTTGTACAACTTTATTCTCGTTTTCATAGTTCATTTGAGGCCGTTTTTGGCGTTACTTTAATGGCAAATGTCAAGCATTGTAATACGAGAGGGCATCAGCACGAATCTCTCTGCTTGCAGCAGGTTTATTGTCCCATATAGTGATCATGGCTCTGTGCTCCCTCAGACAGTGTGCGCCCTCAAACTTTTTCCTGTGTATGCGCGAATAAGTGCTTATTGTAAACAGGTATTTATTAAATCATTTTATTTAGCGAAGCTAAATAAATTGATCCAGCGGATACTCTAGAAAAAGATGGGTTTTTTTTGCGTATCTGTAAGATAACTTAGCCCAATTATTATTTGGGGGGGCGGGGGGGGTTGAGCACCCACCGGCAGAAACATAAATCGGCGCCTAACCGATTTTATCGATTAATTCGAATGTAATGTTTTGCCGCGATTTTATTTTTTAGAAATCAAGGAATCACGATTTTGAATAGAAATATTACCAAGCCTTAGAATTAAACACTTTGACAATATGCCAATGATAACAGTAAAGAGAAAAAAATGATCCAACCACATGTCGGAGCACATGATTAACCGCTCACATGTGACGCGCTCATATCGCTAGGTGCCATTCATACAGAATGTGCTTTTGTGTTGACAAAGATGCAACGCCGGCAGTGGAATAGGAAAAACATGCAAGAAGATAGGAGTGAACTTCTTTTAACTTGAGTGCCGTGTTTTTAATGCCGTTTCATGCATGAGACGCTGCAAGAGACGTAAGCGCAACAGTCAAACAAGCCTATGTTTACATAGAAAAAAACAATAGAAAAGCAGCGCAATCGAATACTGTATATACTGTATACTGTATTCCTGATATATGAATACTGTATTCCTGATATTTCATGTTTGCATCATGGTGACAGGCTGAAAGCTGCTTTTCATTGTTTTTACAGAACATTTATAGTTAATAATTGTCTACTTGTGTTGTACCTTCAGTCATTTGGAATTTGAATAACCTTGAGTTTTGAGATTTTTTATGCATTTTCCTCGTATTATTTCTGAACATATAATATATGTAAGACAAGTTTGTACAATATGTAGTTGTAGTTCATGCATCTTTTTTGCAAAGTGATTTGTTTAACATTTACATCATGTTGACAACTTCATGTGTGGTGCACTTGGAATAGAATTTTCTTTAAATAGAAGGTTAATAAAGAACAAGTTACTTGAATCATGTTGTAGTTGCATTTTCTAGTTCACTAGTTAAAAATGGTAAAAAATCAAAATCGGTCAAATGTTCTGAAAAATCGAGATTTAAATTTTTTGCCATATCACCCAGCCCTAACAGTATATATATAACCATCAAATATATAAATATTAGATAGTTAGTTTAGGTGGTTGACCCGGCTGGTAGGGATCTGATATGTGTTTTCCAAAAACATTGTTAGCCAGCCATGATCACAAGTTCAGTCATTATCAATGAACATTTGCAAACAGCATCACAAATTTGTGTGGTTGGAACTACAGTTCAGTTATCTACAGTACAACTACAGTTCTCGACTTGTGGTTAGAAGCATACAGTAGCTTCTCGTTAGAATGACGTGGACTAAAGATTATGCACTTATGCAAAATAAGCAAGCTAACATGCAGTGCAGGCTTTAACTTTTATTACATATTCCAAATATATACGAATTTCATTCTACAGTATGTCTTTTTACAGTACATAGTTTGACAAGTGAATGAAAGTGCTGAGTTTCCATGCACTCTAGTGTGTCAGTATCTTTCAGGAGCCCCTGGAGTGACATAAGAGGTAATCAAAAAGCTGGAATGAAAGCAAAACAGCTGAGAATAAAATAGAGTAAAATAGAAATAAAGTAGTCCTTAGATGCCATGTTTGTTAATTACATTAATGTTCTGACATTAATTAAATCCCAATCCAATTAATTAGTAGAAGCGTTTGCTGTTCTATTAATGACAACCCTATGAACCAGCATGGTTTTATTGACAGAGATTACATGACTAGTTTGTTTTAATTTATTCTACAATGCATTGTACTATGATAGTTCAGAAAAACACCCCTGGAAGACCAGTCAAGGGTTCTGCTGGCAAAACAGGGCATGACCGACTAAAACCAGCTACCATGTTCCACAGTGCAACTATTTTCGGTTAAATTCAACTTAAGCTGTATTGACATTACAGTGGCATGCCATCTCTTACCACAAAAAATAATTTTGACTTGTCTCACAGTTTGTAAAAACACACATAAAACGTGTTGACAGAAATATAGTTGCATTGGAAATCTGCGAGAGCAGAAGCTACACATTTGCCCCCTAGACTTCTATAGTAACTATCATTGTAACTTTTTGTTTATTTTTGTTTTATTTTTGATGTGTTTTGTTTTTTGTAATGCTTTATTTTGTGTTTTGTCTTTTGTTTTGGGGTTGGGTTTGTTTTGTTTATTTTTTATTTATGTATTTATGATGTTTTTATTTATTTCTATTTATTTTATTTTTGTTTTGTTTATGTTTGGGGGTGGTTTGCTTTGTTGTTTTTGTGTTTTTATTTTTTGTTTTATTTTGGGTTTTTGTTTACATTTGCCCCATAGACTTTCATTGTAACTATTTAGATTTTTTTTGTGTGTGTGTGTTTTATGTTTTGTGGTTTATTTTGCTTAGCTTTACTTAGACTTGTAATTGTGTGTGTTTGTAGGTTTCTAGTGTTCCTGAGGGTCCCGCACTAGAACTCATGGAACAGGACTCTAAAGACTCCGCACAGAGCAGCACCACATCCATCTCGACAACTGACACAGTCAGCCAACCTGAGTACAAGGTACCAGGACATCTCACACACACACACACACACACACACACACACACACCCCTATCCACCTATCCTGTCATGTACCGTTCCTTTTTATGTTCACGCACAAACAACACATGAGTATCTATATTTGTCCACCTGCCTTTGACATGTAACAGTAACCTCATAGAACTACTCTGTTTGAATGCAAAGATAACAGCCTTTGTTCTCACGGTGTATCCTCTCCTTTGCGTGTCAATAAGCCAGGCAGCTGCGCATTTAGAGAGCACTTATGACCAAGACAAAGAGACCGTGAAGGTCTTGAAAGGGGGTTTTGTGGGTTGTAGCGTCTGGGTAAGTCACTGTTGACCACAGACTCATAAATACTCACAGACACTTGCACAGGTGAGGAAACAACAGGGCTGTTGAAATGGTCCTGATTGATTGAGAGTCATGCTCAGACAAGCTCAGTGTCTCAGTCCAGCTCTCTGAGTGCTACAGAGCATGTTATTGTCCTTTTTTGTGTAACAGGATCAAAGAAATCTGTGCAGTGATCATGTTAATTGTCCGTCTTATTTAAAGGGATAGTTCACTCGTAAATTAAAATCTACGAGTTGAAACCTGTATGATTTTTCTTTCTCTGTGGAACACAAAAGAAATTATTTAGCAGAATGTCCAGGCTGAAAAGGAACAAAAAGGCCTGAAAAGCACCATAAAACTAGTAAGGAAGAAGCCATATTTTCAGATAGCTATGTGTAAGGAACAGAAATCTCATATGCCATTTTTAACTGAAATTTGTGACTCCTTCCTGTTCAAATCTGGTACAGGTTTCAGTGAACAGAAAATATGAAATCATGGTGAACTGTGTCTCATTTACATTTCTGCTCCTCAGGATAATAAAGGCTTTGGTATTGGAGAGTTAGTCTGGGGCAAGATAAAGGGCTTTTCTTGGTGGCCAGGGATGGTGGTGACCTGGAGAGCAACAGGGAAGAGGCAGGCCTCCCACGGCATGCGCTGGCTACAGTGGTTTGGCGATGGGAAATTCTCAGAGGTAACAAACAAAACAAAGCGTTGTCAGAATACCAGAATACCGCAGTACTTGATAAATGCTGTTGAATGGCATACTTCTTTTTTTAATGTTAAAGGGATAGTTCACCCCAAAATGAAAATTCTATCATTATTTACTCACCCTCATGTCACTCCAAACCCGTAAGACCTTTGTTCATCTTCGGAACACAAATTAAGATATTTTGAAGAAATCCGAGAGCTTTCTGACCCTCCCATAGACAGCAACGGAACTGACATGTTCAAGTCTCAGAAAGGAAGGACATCATTAAAAGTTCATGTGACATTAGTGGTTCAACCGTAATTTTATAAAGCTATGAGAATACTTTTTGTGTGCACTGAAAACAAAAATAATGACTTTATTCAACAATTTTTCTCCAAGTGACCATCTTCCGCCATTATGGAGAGTACCACAATGCATTCTACATCAGCAGCAGCCCACGTATGCGGCGTGGTACTCTCCAGCACAAATTAACAACATGCCAGCAATATGTTAAGCGTGTTAGCAATGTAATAACGACTTGGTAGCAACATATTAACAACACGCTAATCATGCTAAAACACACTAGAGCATGCTAATCTTGGTAGCAACATGCTAACAGCATGTTAATCATGTTAGAAACATGTTAGCAACATGTTAATCATGCTAGAAACATGCTAGCAATATGTTAATCATGTTAGCAACGTGATAACGACATGTAGCAACATGTTAACAACGCACTAATCATGCTAACAATGTGCTTAAACACACTAACAACATGATAGTCATGATAGCAACATGCTAACATCATGATAATCATGTTAGAACCATTCTGGCGACATGCTAGCAACATGATAATCAAGCTAACAACATGCTAGTATCATGCTAATCATGTTAGAAACATGTTAAAAACATGCAACCCTAAAGTTTTTAATTTAAAACTTTTTCAAACTTCAAGCTTTTATAACTACTTCAAATTTTCAGGCTAGGCTTTCTCAAGCCAACCTAATGTTTGTCTTGACTTTTTTATCTAGTTGAAGTTATTATTTGATACTGGGGTACTTTGCTCTTGTGAAACAAAAGTGCCTGACATTTACAGTTTCCCTCTGTAGCTGATTACTTAAATAAATTCATTAAAAAAATTATCTGCAAAATTCCTTATTGTTATTATATATAAAATTAAGTTAAACATGAAGTCATATTTTCTGTTTTTGTACATTGTGTATATTGTGTGTAAATTGTACATACAGTCAAACCAAAAATTATTCAGACACCAGATATAATTTTTTTATATTTTTTACTAGTGGGTGCAGGTAGTTCATTTATGTAAGTGAGGATAGCAAAATTAAGTAAACTGTGACATGTTATGCCCAAAAAATTTTCATACAGTGGACTACCAGTAAAATTTATAAAAATTTGGGACCAAAAACTATTCAGACACTTTGACCTGACCATGTTTTGCTTAAGTGTTTTTTCTTTAATTGCTAATGCGACCTTTTTACGCCACAGACTGAACAGAATTAAGCATTGCTTGGTAGTTGGTTGACCTAAATTGGTATTATCTAATTGTCTACTTAAATTTAACAGCTGACCTCTATTCAACCTAATAGAAGGATGGCATTATCAAGATGAATTTGTTCTGACACAGTTTAACTCTGAGTTCTTGTCATATTTTATTACCATTTTCTAAACTATAGTGAATAAACTGATAATGTGATAAATATTGAATTTGTCTAAATAAATTTTGGGTTTACTGTATATACATAAATATATAGAGAGAGTAAGTAAAATTATATATATAATTTTATAACAACATGTATTAATTACAAGGCCATGTTTTGAATTTCAAGCATTCTTGCCTTGAACCCTGGTTACATTCTTACCCTGGTGTCATGTGTATCTTGCAGGTGTCTGCTGACAAACTCGACTCCATCACAGCCTTCCCAAAGTTTTTCAACCAGTCATCCTACACCAAGCTGGCCTCCTACCGCAGAGCGATCTTCCAAGCCCTGGAGGTGAGAACAGAGATCAATCTATGTTAATTGTTTTATAACACTTAAAGACAATTGTTGCCTATGGGCAGTTAGACACAACAATGCAGTTTACAACATCTTTAGTACATTTAATAGAGGATAATTATACAAATTGGCACCTGCTGTTCTGAAAGCTTGGAGCATGGGCTTTACTTGTACATTCTGAGGTGTGTATGTGTTTTTGTGTGAGATAAACGGGAAACTGGGCAAACACTTATCTGGAAAGTCTGGAATTCCCCAGAGGTTCCTTAATTATCTCTCTGTGAATCGTACCTCCTAACAAGCTTAACAAAAGCATCCAAGTCCAGACATGCACCAGAACAACAGGACTGGCTGTGCTTTACTTTCTCACCCTCTCTATCTCTCTCTCTCTCTCTCTCTGTCTCACTCTCTCCCTGTTGTTGTACCCCCCCCTGCTTCGCAGTCTATACAGCATGATTAATATCTGCAATTTGTCTCCATTTCCACGAAGAGGATAGTCTTACTGAATGTATGTTATTTTAGACACAGTACATACACATAGTTGATTTTATTGCACTGGAGACTTACCTGGACGGTTTCTGTTTTCTTACACTTACTCTGACATACTGTTCTCCCGCTGTCCGTGTGTCCTCAGGTGGCTAGTATACGAGCAGAGAAGACTTTTCCTCCATGTGAGTCAGACAGTCTTGAAGAACAGATAAAGCCCATGCTCGACTGGGCTCATAACGGCTTTCTGCCCAAAGGTCAGGAGGGCCTGAAACCCAGAGAGAACGCAGGTGAGCACATGTCATATGACTCTCTTTTAGAACTCACACCCGATCCTTTGTAAAAAACTACTTGAGTAAAAAGGTTCAACTTGGGGTCAAATATAACACGGTCAAAGGCATATGACAATAGGGTGTTTATCGTGAGCACAGTTTAAATGCATGAATATCAGTGCATTGTATTACAAAATATTGATCCATGTAGAATTTATTTTAACCAACTATAGCCCAAGAACATATGATACAGTTTTGATTCACAAGTAAGGCCATTCTGGCTGATAACAATTTAGTCAATAAACATTTTTGTTATGGCCAGTAACTGATAGATGGGCAGTATTAAAATTCTGTACTGTTTTGTATAAATACAATTATAATAAAACACTAAAGACTAAAACCAGACATGAATTTAGGCATAACAGCATTATGATGTACAGTATGAAAATACATATTAATTTTGAGATTTGATAAAGATTACATTTAACAATATTATTGAATTTTTGTGCTTTTAAAGATTAACTTTGGGTGAACGTTAGATGAAGGCAAAAGTAATCTAAATGTAAAAATTCAGAAAATGAGCACGAAATACTTAAAATAAATAATTGCCAAAAATTTACGCTTTTCTAATATTGGCCAGCAACCAATGTAGTATCGATATATCGTGCCTTGAGATGAGTTAGTTAAAAGCAAAAATGGATTAGAAAAGTGAAGTTAGCTCTGAGAAAAGCTCTAGCATTAGAAGCCACTTGGTTTGTTATTTTGCTAATAATGCAATGACATTTAGACAAATGCTGTTTTTATGGTCACCGAATACACAAACTATCAAAATAAAAGACAAAATATCAAAATAAAAGGGTAACGTGAGCCAACGACACATGAACAGACAAACCCATAAAAACGCACTTAAACCGTTAAAGTGGTTTCTGCTGGCAGAATTTCAAGCATTGCCAACTTGTTAAATCATATGAAGTGTTAGCAACAGGAAAGTAATGTAACTTGTTGGTCAAGTTTTTCTCCAATTATCAAATTGGGAATGTTATGAATTCATTTGTAGTCTCACTGTAGTTGAGCTCCAAGACTGTGGCCTATTTTTTTTTTTTAAGATTACATTTAATAGTGTTATTAAAATATTAGTGTTTTTTAAGGTTAATTTCAAGTGTATGTTAGATGATTAGAAAGGTAATCTAAATGTAAAATTATATTCAATATCAACAGATACCAATCCATTAAAAAAATTCAAAATAAGAGGGTAACATGAATCCACACAAGACAAAGTTTATATATAAATACCTAGGGGTATATATATATATATATATACTGTATATATATATGAGCAATATCACTCGAGTACGAGAGCGATACCGGCTCTATATCAGCATGGCTGTGAATAGGCC